TTTTTCATTTAAATATGTGAATCATCAAGCTATAACCCTGACTCTCTTTTTTAATGTTTCTTTTTTTATTGTCATTAATTATCTTTTGGTACTTCAGTATATGGTATCTTGTTTCTCCTTTAATATTAATGGGGTGTATTATAATTTAATTCTGTTTTAAATAGCATTTTATATAACTTGGTTAAATAGTTTAAATTCCAACTTTTTAGTTTTTTGAATTACTCATAGTCACTTGGAGGGTTTATGTGTACTTTGTTTGGAAAAACTTTTTAAAGTTTGTGATGATTCAAACACTTGCCTAAGAATCTATTTGTGTTTTTTTAAAAATCTTTTTATCTGAGTGTTTCAGCTCAAAAATATGGATAGAATGCACCATGATGTACTTACTAAGAGTAAAAGTATTACTCTTTTCCTTCCACAGGCTGCATATCAGGTAAAGAGAGATTTATTGTGGCTCAGTTCTGGAGAATCAAGTTGAAGTCAGTCAGCCTCTGCCAATGGCCTGATCAAAAAGGAAATATGAGCAAGACATGTTGCACAGAGAGAAAGCAATTTCCTAGTCTATTTGCTAAACATATTTTTCTCATTTTGATGCTGCACTGTAAAATTTTTTCCCTAAGTTGGTAAAAAAACAGAATAACTATCACTTCATATAGTAAACAAAAAGCTTATATTACCTGTAAAAATTGCATGCTATAATAAAACTTTCGTTACAAGAAGTAAATGAATTCATAAATACGCTTATTCACTCAAGGTATAAATGTCTGATTTCTCTTTTCCTTTTTATTCTTTGCTATGTAAATGTATAAATCACATACAGTGTATGCACATGTGACATCTCCAAGAAGCTTAGAATTTTCTTTCTAAAAAAGAAAATTAAAAACATATTTTTAAAAACCATCTTAACTGAAGTTGAACTGGAAACAACCAAATTAACTCATTATTTTTAATGAGCATACATTAAAAGCATACATCTTTGATACTCTGTCATGTTGTGTCATGTGGAGCAATTGAGTATTCATGACTGGCCAGTTCAGTCAAGGTGCCCCTGGTCACCTTTGTGGCTGTGGAGAGGGAGGCTGTTTTTATGGAGGCTGTGGACTACCAAAGAGAAAGTAGGTAGCTTTGAGGGCTCCAGTTGACCAAACTCTGTTTGAATGTCAAAAAACCCCCAAGATTTTATGAAATGATGAATTTATTTGTTTGTTTGTGTTGCTTTTTTTGTCTTTTTTCCTTTTTATTGGTACCAGGGATCAAACTCATGACTGCCTGCTTGCAAGGGAGGCGCTTATGCCACTGAGCTAAATCCCCAGGCCCTTGTTTGGTTTGTTGAGACAGAATCTCTCTATGTACCTTAGGATAGCCTCAAACTCTCAATCCTGGCTCTGTCCCCTGAATGCTGGGATTACAGATGTGTAACACCACATCTGGATTAAATTATTATGAATTCTTAATGTTACCTAAAGGAGAAATTTATCCTAATAAAAAAAACAAATGCAATTTCAAAATCATATTTACAGAAAATGTCATATATTGTTTAATTCACACTACTTGTCTATTGAGTGAAGTTTAGGCCAAATCAGAAGTAAAATATTAAGTAATAATCTTGTATCCTGATGCATATATGTTTATACACACACAGAAAATTCTATTAGTGCAAGCAGAAAAGTAGTTATGAAAGGCAGGCATAGTGGCTCACGCATGTAGTCCCGGCACTCGGGAGGCTGAGGTGGGAGGATCATTGCGAGTTTGACACCAGCCTTGGCTATAAAGTGAGCTCAAGGCCAATCTGAACTGCATAGTGAGACCCCCGTCTGAAAAAAGACAAAAAAAAAAGTAGTTATGAAAGAAATTATTTTAAAAATTGCATACCAGATTATAGTTAAAATGAAAAAAAGGATCACAGTGCAATGTAACCCACCAATTTTTAGGACAGAGAGGGTTATGCAAGGTTTCATTGGTTTAGGTAGGGGCCTAGTTCTACAGCATAAATTAATAGTTTAATAAACTTGGAAGTTCTTCCATGTTTTTGTGCTCGTGCTCTGCTTTCCAAACTCATAGGTTAATCAAGGATCAGCATTTCTAGTGGATAAATTCAAATTTATAACATAAGCTTTGTAGAGGAAATTCATTTTGTTACACAAGAAGGTACAAAATATGTATAGACAGATGATGATTTTTTAAAAATTAAATTAGTATTAATAATTTCAAATGGTGCTAGAGGTGTATTCAGTGCTAAATGGCTTGCATAGCATGCAAGAGGTCCAGGGCAGAAACGAAAATTGAGGAAGATGTAGCAATGGATATACAGGATATATTCAGTACTTCTGCCTTTTAAAATTCTATCTACTTTTTGAAATACTTGAGAGAATCAAGTATATTAAACTTGTGATTATAATTTGAAGTGTTTATTACAGTTGGTGTCATACACACTCTTGGTTGTTACATAAATTATCCCATTTACTACAGGCAAAGTGTCTCAAATGGCAATGCTTCCACTGTGTTTTGTATGTTTGTTTGGCTGGTTTTTGGGCTCTTTCAGTCTTCTGGTAGAGGTTATTGTGATGGCCACGTGGGACCCAAGATCCAGGCATTACCTGCCTATGTTTTGACACAGGAGCCATTGTGCTACATCCTCTCGGCTTGTCTCTTTGTCTTGGTTTTGCCACTGAAGGATCAAGAGTACTTGGCATATTGGCTGAGCTCAGTTTTCTTCAGCATTTTCCCGAGGGAGGTACCATAGTGAGATGATTTCAAACTTTCTGGTGTATTTTGTCCATGTTGCCTGAACTAAGTCCGAGTCCAGAGAACACCGTTACTGACTATGTAATGAAATGTCATTTATTCCAATTATTAGATAACTGATAAAGAAAATAAGTGCTTTAAGTTTCAAAGCTTTGAAAATAATTTCTAACAAGTGTACTTATTTGAAAATGACTTAAAACATTAGTTTTTAAGTATTCTTTTCTATACAGATCGTCTCTTTTTTATGCTTTAAGTTACATAGTGCTATTGAGACAGTATCTAAATGAATATTTCAAATTGCCACTGAACAATTTAATAAGAGGTGACACAAATAGCATTCAATGGATCAATAAGGACATACGAAGAACAAAGCAAAGATCCAAGCAAAGAATAACCATATTTACTTATGATCAAATCATTAAGTCAGACAATTAAATTCCTGAAGTTAATGCTCCACAAATACCAGAACTCTGTCAGTTTTATCCTTTGCCATAGCTTCAGTATTTCTTCTGTGCCTGGTCTGTAATTCACTTCCAAATAATTTCTGTTAAATGAATAAAAGCTTTGTTTTTGTTTTTCTGTTTTGGCTACCAGGAGTCAAACTGAAGGCCTTGCACTTTTCAAGGCAGGTGCTGTACCTCCAATCTATATCCCCAGCCCAGAAGTGGGTCTCACGGACTACTTGTTTTAAGACCACCCAGAGTCCCTTAAAATGCAGCTGGAACTACAAGTGCCACCCTGCCCACCAGGCTTGGCAATGTGTATTCATTCTCCACTGTCGTCAGACCTAAATCCCTTTTTCTCAGGTTGTACAATCAGCAAACCAGTGAAATCGTCTTCACCAGAGAAAAGGCAGAGGCCGCTGTGGTTAACATCTGTGTTAAACACAACCAAGCCAAGCTAGGAAAGCTTATTGGTTTGTTTCCTTCTTCTACCTTTCATGTATTAAAACAAAACAGGAAAACAATGTAGCTTCCAAATTTTGTTTTTCCCTAATAACTGAGGTCACTTCTTGTTTGTGTTTCCCTTCTTCTATAGCATTATTTCACATTGCAGTTCCCTTTGCTTTTCAGAGTTCTCTCCAATTTATTGTACTTCTAATTAAAATTAATTTTTGAAATTCTTGTCCATTTCTGTGAGCGTTTTCTGTTTTTCACATGAGCGTAGTTGTAAGAAAATGTTTATTCCACTGAACTGGGACCTTCTGAAGCACTTTTCATTTATTTTTGTTTAAAACTCTTCAATGGCTCCTATTTCGTAGCCATTCTTGTGTTTATTGAGTAAACACCAGAATCTTTGGCTTTCAAACACCAGAATCTTAGGCTTTCTTGTAATAGCCACGCGACAGAGCAGATGCCTTCACCAGTATTGTAACTTTCTTAAAAGAGTCACGCAAAGGCATGCTTTTAAAGGGCTCCTATAGAGCTTGCTTTGTTTCCCTAATTTCTTGGGTATGTTGAAAACGCCAAACCTAAACTGTTTGACCGAGTTGGGACTAATTCTATTTGTGACAGACAAGATTTCTTTGCGGAGAAATCTGACATTGAGCAACGCCTCATGACCAAAGGATCCTCGGTTTCCCTTGGTTATTCCTTGCCTATTTGCCACTTTGAATATGAGAAGATAATTGGTTGAAGGCAGGTACTTTAAACATCTCTCAATATAGTTAACACAAAACAACAGGTGCACGTTATTATAATCAACAGTGGACCGAATTTCATCATTATTACTGGCACCGACAAAATTTTTGGATCAGAGTTTCATAACTTACAAACAAAACAACAGAACCCTAACTTCACTATCTGTGTGTGTTCTTGGGCTTTTCTGGTTCATCCAGAGAGTTTGCCCCTAAAAGTGCTCATCCTCATGAGCACCGGGAGCAGAATCTGGGGGCCCGGAGCTCCGAGGCCTGGGGTGGCGCCGCGCAGCCCGAGACCCGCGCGCACCCTCGGGCTGAGTGCGTGGGAATCCACAGCTGCACGGCTTTTTTCCTCCCAGATTTAAAAGTTGCGCGGTCTTTGGGCCCAGATGGGCAGGGGAAGCTGCGATCCAGAAAACCACAGCTGGAGCCCGAGCCCAGAAGACCTGCCGTGCGCCGCGGGGTGACCCGTGCTCCCCCACCGGGCCTGCCACGTGAGCCCCGAGCCCCGCCTGCGCCCGCAGGGACCGCCAGCCCGAGGGTCGCGCCCCGGGGGCGGCGCCCTCCTGCCCACGACCCGCCCCCGCCCCCGCCCCCCGCGACCCGCGGCGTAGACTTCAGCGCTCGGCGGGCGCTGGGAGCCGGAGCCACCGCAGCCTGAGCCCCGGCGACGCGCGGAGGACCCGGCTCGCCCGGCAGCCGCGATCTTCGTCCTGCCGCCCCCGTCTGGGCTGCAGACCCTCTGCACCCGGCCCGGCTCCTGCCACCGCGAAGGACATGCGGCCGGCTAAGGCGGGCGCCCCGCTGCCCGCTCTCCTGCTGCTGGCGCTGGCTCTGTCCCCGCCCGAGACGCACGCGCGACCCCGGGGGCGCAGAGCCCCGCGCGGCGCGGAGCACAAGCCTCTGCTCTTCCTGCCCGCGGCGGGGGCGGGCCCGGCTCCCGGAGCCTCCCGGAGCGCTGGTGAGTCCTGGCCGGTTCTGTCCTCCGCCGCCCGAGCCTGAGTCTTTCTGGGTTACTTTCTGAGCTAACCCGGGCACGAGGCGCGCGCTTGGAGAATCTTGACTGTCCCGCTGCACAGATTGCTTTTCTGGGGAAAGGATGATAGTTTATTAGACTTAGCACAACTGAGCTTAGACAGATTCTGGCTGGCGAATCATTTTTTTCAGGTGTGGCAGACTTGCTTGGAAATAAACTGATCAAATAGCTGGAAGATCTGGGTTTCCGTCCCAAGGGCTCAGTGTAATGGACAGCTTAGGGACCTGTCAGCGCCTCATTTCTGGGCCTTGAGTCTTTTTGAGAATTAAGTAACAAGGACTGGTCCGAGACACCTGAACGTTCTTATGAATGACCTTTCCTTGTGGTTTTGAGCTGGCCTCAGGGACCGGGCCCTGACACGGAATTCTCGCAGGTTGCTGTAATAGATGGCAACTCAGACCTTTCTTGAGTGCCAGCTGCTTCCAGATCAATGCTGGATACCCAGCTTCCTGGTGCTTTGATGCATCCCTCTGTAGGTGAGCGATTGAGGAGGGAGAGAAAGTTATCATTTTAGAGGCGCAGGGACATTTAAGGGTAGAGAACTCTTGTGAGTGAGGAGGAGAAGAAGAGGGAAGGCAGAGGGGAGGAGGCCAGGGGCAGGTGGGCTGTGTGGGAGGTCAGGACACAGGTCAGGAAGAAGGAAGGTGGTGACAAAAGACAACACGCTATGCAAAGTGTCCCTGTTCAGGTCCATGGCGAGATGGACTGGTGGCAGGAGCTGGGAGTGAAAGGGTCCATCTTCAGGCCACTACATGTGTTTTAGTGACTGGACCAAGCTCAGGTGCCCTCATGATACCCAGTAGCTTCCACCTGGATCTCATGACATAGGTCCACATAGCTCCATAGCTTGTGCCTCATTTTTTTTAGTGTTATTTTTTTATTTCATAATATGATGACACATTCACTCTGCAGTCATACTGAATACCTGTCTTTACATGGCAGCCGTCCTGCTGAAGGCTGAGGCTGCTTACGGCAGAGCCCTTTCCAGCACTTGGGTGTGTGTGTGTGCGCGCGCGCGCGTGTTGGTGACTCCTGCATTGAATGAAGGTAGAAAACGGTGACCTGTTCTGCAGGCAAGTGTGAAGCAGGAGGAGTTGGGAGGCTGAGGTGGGTGCTGAGCAATGTGTGAGGAGAGCCCAGACTGAGCCTTTCAGTCTGACTGGCAGATGGAGAGCCCTCTGGAAGGGGACCACGACAATACCCAGGGACGCCAGGATAGTGCCACACTTACACACTTTGGTTACTGTCATCCCAGCTGTTTATCTCAGAGGACACAGTGTCCCTTTGGAATGTGAAAAGAGTGGGAGAAAGTCTCATCAGGAACATAGATGGTGACACAGTAATTCAGACCCTCTGTTTCATTTGCACTTTAAAAGATCTTTTCTCTTTGGTTGAGGACAGTGCAGATTTACTGACACCGATGTGAATTACAAGAGAGAGAAAAGAACACTATTTAAAGGGGAAAGTGGCAAGGATCTGAAGTTTTGAAAAGCAAGATGGCTTGACAGTAAGGGACCCACAGGTCATTCTTAAAGTCTGTTTCTCTCTGCCGCTGCTCAGGGTGGTTTCATCTTTTGGTTATTGTGCTCAGTGCACCTGGGGAGGAAAGAGTCGCTCCTTATACTGGAAGTGTGGTCTGGATTGGGCACTTGGGTAGGGATCAGGGCCAAGCTTGGATACAGAGAGGACAAGGACCCTGTGGATGTTCTCATGGGACATGCTCGGGAGATGCCAAGTGTCATGGCTTGTGTAGGATGAAACATTTTCCAGATCCTGGAGGTCAAGGACTCCCATCCCTGCTGGCAACATGATAAGTGCCAACACCCAGTGGTGCGTATTTGCCTCTGGAGGCTGAAATCCTTGCTGCTTGTGCAAGGAGAAGGCACAGTTTCTCCTACTATACTCCCACACACGGATGCCTTCTGACTTCAGATAGGTGGGGTTTCCCTTCCCTCACATTAAACAAACAACTGGTTCTGCAAAGGGCACCTGCAAATTGTGCTGTAATTCAGTTCAGCTCTCACATCTTCTGTCTGGGAGATCAGAACCCACAGGTTAAGAACTCGATCTCTCAGACTGACCTTCACTCCCGCCCCAGCTTTTCAGGTGCCGATCTTTTCCCTGTGCTTCTGAAGACCACCTATAAATCTATAGATCGGGGTTCCCACACTTCACTTTCCAGGCTCACTTAATTTAATAGAGAAGCTTACAGAACTCAGGGGAACATTTACTGATTTATGGTAAAGAAGGTTACAAAGGGTACACAGATGGAAAGATGCATAAGGCCTGGTATGAGGGAAGGGCCTTGAGCTTCTCTCTGCTCTCTCTGAACCCGCCACCTTCCATGAGTGCCTGCACTGTCAGCTGTCTGGGAGTGCTGGGAACTTTGTGCTTTGAAGTTTTCATTGAGGAAGTTTCATTACATAGAGCTGATTGATTATGTGATTGGTCAGTAGTGATCAGTTTAACCTTCAGCCCCTCTTCTTTCCCAGAGAGAATTCTAATCCTCTAATCTTGGGGATTTTGAAGCTACTTAGGGGCTGGTTGCTGCCAATTTATTAGCATGTGGAAATGCGTGATTATTTTAGAGATTCCAAGGGTTTTAGGATTTTTATTGCACAAGGACAAAAATACCTTTCACAGTATAACAACATGCAATTGTGCATTCTCCCTTTTTGATAGGCAACTTATGTATAGATGTGAGGCTGGAGGGGGAGAACTATTTGCAGGTAGGAGAAGCAGTAAACGTAAAAACCTTTGAGCCACACAGATGGTACCTTTAAGGACTGTCAAGGGAGAGTGGGGGGACAGTGCGTGGTTCCCAGGAGCACTTACGATTCACCATGCTTGGTTCCCCTTGATCCTCCCTGCTCCCCGTTCTTCATGAGTGCATTCACCTACTAGTTTAGCCTTCAGCACACATTTGAGGTCACTTCGATGGGCCGAGGGTTATAAAGTTCACAAGTGTTGTTGACTGTGTTTTTCAGGTCAGTTCACCAAATAAGTCCTTCCACAAATGTCTAGAATCTGATTTTTCCTCCACCTGTCTCACCCTTGCCAGTCTATCTTATTGGGCTAAGAATGAGAAATTATGAGGTTTTGTAACCTTTACTCTCATCCTCTTATTCTTGTTCTTTCCTTCCACTTTCTCTGATCATCCCGCCAGCAGAAGAAAGCACATAAAGTCTGCCATTAGAAAGGGACACTGTATTCACCCACTGAAATATACACAACCAGGCTTTGAGTTGGGGTGCTGTAGAGTAACAAAAATGGCTTGCGTGAGTTTGAGAAGAGGTGGAAAATGGGGTGATAGGAGCGTAAGGAGGACTCCTGGGAAGTTTTAGTCAATGCTATATCCCCTGTGTAACTTCCCTTTTCAAGAGATTTCAGGAAATACACTTTTTCTGTAGACTTTTGAGAGCTAGATCTGTGTTGTTTTCATGTAAAACTTTGCTAATCTGGAGCTTAAAGAGAAACTGATCGTTTATGTGAGGTTATCCTGAGCAATCACAAATGAATATTCCTTATTAGTGCTGGGCTACATAAGTCACAGGTCTGTAGTGGCTTCTTTTGAGTCTCCAAAAAAAAACTCCAACTCCTCTGGAAGGCAGGTCTCTTTCCTTACACTTTCTTTTCCCACCACCTCTTTCTGTGGCTCTGTCAGGGACTGCTTTTGTGCCACTCAGGCCTTGTGCTGCTCCTCACAGATGCCATGCTATGTTCTGGAAGGTTCTTACGTCGTTTCCTGTTGGAATTCTGTCTGTTCACCAACGAGGCTAGTGACGACCCTTTTAGAGCTTTCAGTGATAACAACCTTCCTGCTGTGGCATGAGTGCCATACAGACTTTTCCCCCTTGATCTTACATCTCAACTGTCAACACAGCAGACTTCTGCTCCTCAGAAGACCTGAGGATGGTGGTGTCTTCTCACCAGCAAGCGAGCACTGGTGGTCTCCGGTGTTCATGGTCAGAGAAGAAAGTCAAAGTGCAGTGGTACAGGTTCAGGGCGCTAAAATGTAATCAGAAAGCCATTAGTAATCTAATCTCGGGTGTATCCATGCTTGGGACTTTGAACTGGTCTGTAGACACCACTACTCCACACACACCCCAGCTTTCAGGCCAACGTTTACACAGGCCAAATTGCATTTAATTTGATAGGGAAGTTTGTAGAATTCTGGGAAATACCATGCTTATGTTTGCTAGTTGATTATAAAGGATACAGAATAAGACATACATGCAATAAAACATGATGACTGGGACTTTTTCAAGGGTTTTAGGAGTTGGGTGCTGGGAAGCATGTATGAATAACAAACATATATTTCCTAATATTCCAACCCTCTACTTGTGCTATCACTGCAATGCCTTTGCAGTTATTTCTGTGCTCAAAAATAATCTAACCCCTGGATTCGCTTTGCAACTATCCCACACTTCTGATAAAAGCTTCACAAAAAATCCAGGTGTATTTGCATACTGTTTGGACTTGAGTAATAATGGAATTTTATTTGTGCCATGTAAGGCTCTTACCATTCTCTCCACCCACTTAGATAGTCATACTTGTTGAGTGAAGGAAAGATAGTAGCTTTTGCTACTTTGCATATCACTGAGGAAGGGGTGGGTGGGTATTTGAACTTTTAAAAAAATTGTGTTGTGTATGTTTAAGTCAGGAACCTGAGGTTTTGATACATGTACACACAGGGAAACAACTGTTAGAGCCAAACAAACGTATCAATCATATTCCATTTTTAAATGTTTTAAGATGATAAGGTGACAAAGTCATACATAATTTTTACCATATGTGGTGTTCTTTTTTTTGGTCTTTTTGAGACAGGGTCTCACTATGTGGTTCAGGCAGGCCTTGAGCTCACTTTGTAGCCCAGCCTGTCTTGAACTTAAAATATCTACTTGCCTCAGCCTCCTGAGTGCTGG